TCCAAAGTTGAAGCTGTAAAGAATTGGGAGCAACCTAAGAATGCATCTGGGATTCATAGTTTTCTTGGACTCGCGGGTTATTATAGACTATTCATACGAGATTTCTCTAAAATTGTCGTGCCTTTAACTTTGTTGAAGCTTTGTTTGTCAGATGCTCCTGTTCTAGCTTTACTAGAAGGTAGTGACGACTTGGTAGTTTACAGCGATCCTTCTAAACTAGGTCTCGGTTCTGTTCTTATGCAGCGAGGCAACGTAATTGCATACGTATCGAGACAGTTGAAAGATTACGTGTTCGCAGGTTAAAGCTGAACACCAAAAATCTTATGGTAGCCTTCAACCTCTCGATATACCGGTGTGGAAATGGGAGGGACTTACAATGGATTTCGTTACAAAGCTACCGAAGACGTCTCGTCAGCACGACAGCATCTGGGTTGTCGTGGACCGTTTAACCAAAAGTGCTCACTTTCTGCCTGTTCGAGAGTCGTATTCTATGGATAAATGAGCACAAATTTATATCGACAAGATTATTGCATGACATGGTGTTCCTCTGAAGGTAATTTTTGATCGAGATTCTCGATTTACTTCGAAATTTTGGGCCAATTTACAACGAGAACTAGGGACACACGTGGCATTCAGCACAAGCTATCATCCTCAAACTGATGGCCAGTCCGAACGCACGATACAGACGTTAGAAGATATGTTGCGTGTGTGTATCCTTGAGTTTGGTGGTAGTTGGGATATGCATCTACCATTGGTTGAATTTTCATACAACAACAACTCTCACTCGACTATCGGTATGGCGCCTTTTGAGGCTTTATATGGTCGTAAATGTCGAACTACACTGTGTTGGCGTGAGACGGGTGAGAAAGTGCTTGCTAGACCCGAAATGATTCAAATTACGCATGATAAGATTCAAGTTATTCGAGAAAGGATGAAAGCCGCTCAGGACAGACAGAAGTCGTACGCCAATAATCGTCGACGACCAATTGAATTCACCGTCAGCGACATGGTTATGTTGAAAGTTTCCCCTTGGAAGGGTATTCTACGATTTGGTAAGCAAGGTAAGCTTAGTCCACGTTTCGTTGGACCATTCAAAATCATTGAACGTATTGGCAAACAAGCATATCGACTTGAACTTCCAGAAGAGCTGTCTGGTATTCACGATGTATTTCATGTTGGATATCTTCGAAAGTGTTTGGGTAAGTATGATGAAACAATTCCCTTAGTTGAGGTGAAGATTGACAAACGACTGAGATATATCAAGGAACCAAAAGAAATTCTAAATGAAAGAACGGCAAATCTTCGAAACAAGACAATTGATTTGGTATTAGTGAAATGGAAGCATCATCGTGGTCCGAATTGCATGTGGGAGAACAAAGAACAGATGTTTGCCAAATATCCCAAGCTATTCGAGAAATGAAGATTCCGAGGACAGAATCCCCAAAAGGAGGAGGTAATTGTAACATACACTTTCGCAAATACGTTGCAATTATCCCCTTTATACGTGTTTATGTGATCAAAACGTAAAATTTGGAAGCAAAC